TTTCTCTCACATCAGAGTATACCATTATCCATAGCATAATCCTCTGTGGCACTTTGTCTCCTTGAAATTTTAATAAATGATAGTGATGACTAGCAACAAAGAGGTATGCCATTTATTTATTAAAATTCAAGGATCCACTAATTCTCCCCAGTGTTTGGGGCGTGCTCCTTGATAATTCTCTCCAAGATCTTCCCGAGCACCGAGGTGAGGCTTACAGGCCTACAGTTACTTGGCTCCTCCCTTTCTTGAAAACTGGGACCACATTAGCCAGTTTCCAATCCCCCGACACCTGAGCAGATGACCACAAATGCTCATACAGTCGGGCCACGGGCTCCGTGATGACCCCTGCCAGCTCCTTCAACACCCTTGAGTGGAGGGCATCTGGACCTGCAGATCTAAAACATCCAGCCCTTCCAGAAGATCCCTAACTACATCTACACTGACCCAAGGCCTGACAGAGCTATCCCCAAGATTATCCTGACCTCTGGTAGGTGGGATATCTCGATCCCTGTTCAGGAAAACAGAGGCAAAGAAACTGTTAAAAATACCAGCTTTCTTGCCTGCTGTAGCCACAAGATCACCGTTTGCATCTTGCAGGGGCCCTACAATGCCTGGTGCCCTCTTCTTGCTCCCAATGTACTTGAAAAAGGACTTTTGTTGTCTTTAATCCTGGACGCTAGCCTGAGCACCATCTCTGCCTTGGCCTTCCTAATAGCCCTCCTACACTCCCGGGCCAAGGAGGAGTAGTCCTTGGTGATAGCCCCTCCCTTCCACTGGTTGTGTGCCCCCCTTGCTTCTCCTCTCAGGGACTGTTACCCTTTGGGCCTGGAGGATCACCCCCTTAAAGTACGGCCATCCCTCATGGACTCCCATCTCCTTTACCTTCTGGGCCCTCAGTGTCTCCCCCACTAGTCTCCAAAGCTCGTTGAAGTTGGCCCTTCTGAAGTGAAGGGCTTTAGTCTTGCTATAAGCCCTTGACACCCTCCGCTGGATAGTGAATTCCAGCAGCTGATGATTGCTATTGCCCAGGTGGTCAAGGACCTGCAGTCCTCTCACCAGGTCATCCCCCCTGGCCAGGACCAGGTCCAGCAAGGTGTCACGCCTAGTGGGGCTGCGCACCTCCTGGATAAGGTGAAGGTCCTGCAATACAGCCAGGAACCTATGCGAGTGGTCAGACCTGGCTGTCTGCTCCTCCCGGCAAATGTCTTCAGAAGAGTGCAGAGTGTTTTCTTTCCTTGCAAAGATGTTAGGATTGCCTTCTCTGGCAACTGGACTAAGGCGAAGCTTGTGGTGCTACAGTACGTGTCTTGCAAGATTGAAGATTGGAAGGAGATGCCAAGAGGCCATCTCAGCTCAAAAGCAGAAGGCCTGGAACAGCGGAGCTAAAAGAACATCAGGATTCAAGCACATCTGAGAGAAGGGATCTCCAGTGACCTCTCTCCTCTCTTTCTTCTATGTGACCTTACAGTGGGATGCTTCATAAGCAACCCCTTTTATTTAAAGAGATGTGCAGCAGAGAAGGTTGCTACAAGAGTTATGTTTTAGCACTTATAAAATGTTGGCAGATGTGCATTCACATTTTTAATACAAAACAAAGACATTTTTGTAAAGAATAATTTAGCTGAACTTGAGATAAGAATCATTGCAAGCCTAAAATGTGCAAAGTACAACACACAACATTAAAATTCTTCCCCCTCCACATCCAACCCTGAAAGGTGAGTGTAGCTAGATTGCTCTTTAGTCCTTAATCACCTGTCTCTTAGTACATAGTTCAGAAATCAACTGTTCAAATGAAAATTATGACAGCAACTCAAGGAACCCAGAGAAGGAGTAGCACCAGGTTAACGGCTGTCAATTGCAACCCAGTTGTAAAATATGAAAATGAAGTCCACAGTCTGGAAAACCTTAAAAATAATTCTCTCCTCGTCAACTATTTACTGCTTCAAAGTACAATAAATTTGTCTGAGTATTTGAGCTTTGAACAAATCTTGGGAAGTGGAGGATGATGATACAAAGTTAAAAGTGGTTCACTGTCACAGTTCAATGCTCTATACAAGAGGAATTCCATACATTACTACCACCACCGTGTATTGTCACATGTCCGTAAATCTGCTGTTTCCCTTATCCAAGAACCTTTTGCTTTCTCAGCAAGTACCAAACTGCTGATTTGATGTTCAAACATCAGCGTACACATTCCACTTCATAAGGGAGGACACATTTGTCACTCCTTCCACCCCAAGATATTCAACTCCTGTTAAAGCGGGTACACACCTCAACCCCAAGAAAATAAAAACCAAACTGAAAAGAACTGCTAATGCCTGTGTCTGGAAGACCAGGGAGTGTTATGTGAGATTTGCTGAAGGATCTCTTCCGTTTGATGCCCAGGCTCTACACCTGGATTGGTCCTTTCAGAATCTGCTCACAAGCCGATCATTTTTACCGAGGAAGGGGAAGAGGCATGCAAGGAGAACTCCACTGAACCTGGCAGGTGTGCGCTGCTGGAGGTGCTTTGAGGCAAGTCAGCAAATTCCTTCGCACTTCGAAGTAGAAGCTGTTTGTTTTTCCTTAGGAAATATATTACAGGCTTTCCAAAACGGCCATGAACTTGGCAACTTCACCATCAATTGGTGGGCCGAGAGGCAAAGTCCTCAGTCCCTGTATAGAGAACAGGTCGTTAGAAGTTTTCATCAAGGACCTCAAATCAATTTATTTCCTGCCTTCTCCCCACAAAAAATGGCCTCACTTCTTGACTTGCTATGGAGGGTCCTCACTTGTTAAAGCCACCTCCCATGAGGAGATAACACAGTTAACCAGTCCCTCCCAAAAGACCTGCCCTCCCCTAACCCAATGACTACTGAGCTGCTTGACTAGATACTCTGTGTGCCCTCTTCATCCTCATACCTTTGTGGAGGTGCCATCACAGCCTTGCTAGCTTCAACTCAAATAGTAAAATTAACCATTTTATTTCTCCTATTTCCAGGCAAGGAATAAAAAAACCTGACAACACATGTAAAGGCCTGATTAACAATATCAGAGCCTGCCCCCTGATGCACAAAACTACTTACTCTGTTTACAAAGACATTGAAAAGATGCTTCGCCCATGGACACCTGAAAAGAGATCTAGGTCTCAGTCCACTTCCGAGATATGGAAAGCTTTTCCTCTTATTTCAGCAACTTGATAATTAAAATTTGCCTGCAAATTGGCATTTCCAAACCCTTTAACCCAGGGGTGCCAAACATCTGGCTCATGGAGCTGCATCATCTGGCCTGCAGGGCCCTTAGAGGGGCTGGGAATATGGAGGCAGGACCTGCTGCTGTAATTCAGGATATGATCTAGTTGGGGTTGGTCCTGCTTGGAGGAAAGGGTTGACCTCCTAAGGTCCCTTCCCTTCTAACCTGAATTTTCTATGATTCTGTGAAGAACTGTTATGGATGCATGTTGATAGCTGGAGGGGTAGAAGGCTTGAGCAATGGCTGCATTAACCCCCATAGTACTGTTTCTGTTCATCCCTACTATTTAGGGACAGGTTTAAATTGTTTTCAATTCAATAATACATATATATTCTCGATGCACAGATGTGGTATTTCACAACCAGATGTTTATGCAGTCTTAAATCTTACGAATGCAATAATGCTTTTACAATTAAAGTTGAGTTTATTGATTTAAAACCAATCTGTGATTTCCAGTACTAGAAAATGCACTTTTCCTTTGGAAGGAAAACTTACTTGTTTTCTCAAGGTAAACAAGAAAACATGTGACTTACCCTGGTTATTAGTCATGCTTGCAAAGACAAACTACAAGTTCTGCTTGTAAGAGATAGCAAGGGGAAGGGAAAGCATCAATGGGTCCCATTAGAGAATAGAGTTTGTCAAGGAAACATTAAAGTCAGCATACAATAAAACTGTAGTACTCTAAACGCATTGTCTCATCACTGCCTATAACAGCAAGGATAAAGCAAACTGGGAACCCATAACTAAAGATTTCATCAATCACAGCAGAAGCGTCAGCTATTTAGTGCAATCAGCACTGTTATAATCCTTAAAATAGCTTAATAATAGACTGTGAATATTCATACTTACACATGTAATTTCTCTGTTATAATCTGGATGATAAAGACACCAATGGATTGCATCTTCACGTTGGTGCAAGTCAGAAATTCACAGATCAAAGCACCCACATACTGAGGGCCAACGGTTTGCCCCCTGTTCAGTATAAGAGAACCAGAGAAGCAGGTGACATGTTACCAAGCTCTAAAGAGGGACATGTGCAAGCAGCTCATAGGCAATTGTCTTGTTCCTCACCCAGTCTTGAATCAGAAACATCTCACCCTAAACACAGACCAACTGCAGATCCACCTGAAACTTCCAACCCTTGGTATACCCAAGGCAAGGACCCCCCAGAATATATTTTTCCAGCCTGAACTACTCCTCCTATCTGCATTTTTTGTAACCTGCTGGCTGATACAAGCCCCAGAAGAGCTTCTAATCATCAAAAACTACCTCCAGGTGTTTCATAGGTCACCACTATCACCTGGATACTGCCCAAAATGGGATCCAAAGTGATTGCTTCTTAAGGAGAGATACCAATTTCTATAGTAAACTCTGAGTAAGTTCTAAAGACATAAAAAGTAAATAAAACCGTTCAAAACCTGTACATCGGACATACAGTCATCTCAGACACCACTTGTTCATTCAGGTGGGAGCACGCAGATACTCCACATGTATGCACATGTGTAAAAGGATGTATGCTCTAAACCAGCGGTCTCCAAAGTGGGATGCGCGCACCCCAGGGGGTGCACAAGACGATCCATTGGGGTGCGGGAAGAAAATATTAGAACTTCTATTTAGATGTATATTTATATAAATATACATATATTGGGGGTGCGTGATGAAAAAAGTTTGGAGACTACTGCTTTAAACAACAGTTAGAGTATGTTAAGGGACTCTGAACTCATTGTACAAGTGCCACACGGGAAACAAGGGTACGTGGCTCTGTCTCATCAATTTAGGCAAGGAAGCTGCACAGAGGTCATAAAGTTACAACTGTTTAGAAGACTAATTCAAACCAGCAGCCTAGGAAGTAAAACTTTTGTCTCACATACGTGTTAAGAGACTAAGTATCTTAAATGACAATCCATTCAGACCAGTTTTATGAATAAAGTGGCCAGGCCTTGCTGACAATTAATGGATTAATTATAAGAGCAATTTAATATAGACAATTACTAGTTAGACCTTTGCCAATAAGAGAGAAATCCCACAGCTCTGGCCTTTAAGTTTTTTCATAAGAAAGCAGCAGGGCCTCAGGAACAAAATGCTTACTTACAGTGTCAGTATTGTAGCTTTCCTACAATTCAGATCTCTGACAAACAGATTGACAGTGCCATGGAGAATGGATTCTTCATAGGAGAAACTGTCTAATAATAGCCTCAGTGCCCAGAAGTTATTCTAGGAAGGCAAGAGAAATGCAGACAAGTGATGTAATTCTGTATTATGCAGCACCTCATTTCATTAGCATGATCAGAGGGGAAATGATTCATGAAGTTTAAGTAAAGACAGCAGACAAAAAAAATGTGTGTACATGAAGCTCAACATGCTGTTAAGTGATTTTAAGTGTAATTTGTGCTAATCAATTAGAATGAAACTCCAAACGCCTTGGACTTACCCCGAATGCTAATACTATTTCTAGAATGGAATTCAAGAACGGAAGGTCACTCAGAATCATCTGCTTCACTGCCTGCACCAAGAGAATCAGGCCAGCCTCAAGGCAGAACTGAGGGCACAAATAAAAAACAGATGTTGTAAAATTGAGAGAAAATTTCTCCCCTGCTTTATAACTGATGTCCTTAGCTACATCTACTTAAATCAGGTGCTAACTGCGGCCACTCTGACCTGGGAGTGCCTTGCACAGTGAATTTCAGAGCCCTGCAACTGGCCAACTGCAGGAACAGCTGGTTACAAGTATCATAAGAACAGAAGAATTTAGTGATGGACATCAAGTTCAGGAAGGGGAACAGAGCAAATGCTGCAAGTGTGTGGCATCTTTCAGCTGAAGCACTAAAAATGCTTCATAGTCTTGCATTATCACCGTGGAATAGAATTAGCCTTACGTAGGCCAAAAATAATCCTAGCTCATGAAGTTACATAATTAGTAAGTAAGTTAAACATGATTTCCTCAGAAGAAATACAAGGAGCAACATTAACTGGCCTCTTTAGAAAACTGAACACATCCTAATTACAGGTGAATACCTTTCACTCAAGTCACTTGCAACTAATGCAGTACTGCATACAAGTCTCTGCCCCCTGAAGAGAGAATCTAGCTTGAACAGATGTGAATATTTAACCTGAAATCACTATCTGAAAGGTATTCCGCAATGCTTGAATTCATAGTTCAAATCTAGAGAAATCCCAGATGTTTTATATCTATAGGGGATGTTCATTGGAAACATGTGCTTGCTTCTGTGGAGGCAAACGTCAGCATAACTAAACAGCACCATTTTGGCTCCAGGCATATTTACCTGCCTGGTCAATTAATTTGCCTATGGAAATGGTTGTCTGCTCATCCTCTGTTTTATATACAAGGGTAATTCTGGGCAGCGAGACATTAAGATGCAGCCAGGGGCACGGCCATTGGACAAGAATAGAGGAGTTTTGAATCCCAGTCCCTGCTTCTAATCACTAGACTATGCAAAAATATGTATTTATGCCATTTTCTAATAAGTTTCCATCTTCTCTGTAAAAGCATTTCAATAAGACAAAAATCATTTTGATGTCCTACAGTGCAATTTAGAGTCCAAAATTCAGTCCCCCCCGATTATCCCAGACATACTTACAGAATTAGAGAAAAAATTACACGGCAGAGAAACATTGACTTTGGTCTTTAGCTCATTCAGAAGGCCATAACACACAGAGACCACCTTCTGCAAAAGGAAACAGTGAGTCAGATGGAGCAAGAGAGGGCCCAGATATACAAGTATCTAATATTGTCCAAGACAATTCTTTGACATGTGGTGTTTTAATGTCCTTGGTGCCACTTCTACACATGAAGTGTGGACTGTCCAAAGTATATCCCTAGAAATGCTGTAGGTCCATGGCACTCATTGACTTGTGACATATTCTGTTCAGCAGTCTCCCTACATGTATTTTAAAGCAATTTAGGCTTGCTGTGCTTATTAGACATTTTCATCTGAGATGCACAACTGCCCAAATAGTAGCTCTTCAAGGCCAGCACAGAGCACCTCCTTAATAGAGGAAACCAAATCCCTCCCCTATTTATTTTGTAATTTCTTAAACTTAAAAGATCTGGAATCAGGTCTCAAGCGTTCAGCTGTGAGAACAGTTAATTTGCTCATCCTGACATTTAACACCTCTATATAATTATCAGATAGTCAAATGAGCTCCTGCATCTCAGGGCCAAAAGAAACAAGTCTCGTGGCAGCCTAGAACCACTAAACTTACTTTAGGTCACAGGAGATTCACTAACAGTTTTCAATTAGCCACATTTTAACTGCCATCTGTGCCTGCACTTCATCCAAAAGCAGTGAAAAAGCTGCTTCCAATTTCATAGGATGATGTGAAGACCTTGCCCCTAAAAATGTTAACTTGACACATGCAATGACATTTTTTGAGGGTGTATTATAAAATGAGCTCATATTCCAACACGAGGTGATTCCCGAGTTGAAAAAACATGGTACCCAAAAGCAGGGCATCAGTTGCTGCATCTCAGAATGCTTTTCCAGTTACCTCTTGAAAGTCAAGTGGTGGCTCTTTCAGCGAGAGAGGAGTTAAATGTCCATTTTTCTCCAATGTAGTGCCGCTACCCAGAACCATGATGAAGGTGCTCCAGCATTTTGGCTGAAATACAGCAAGGCTTCCACTTAGCCAAAAACACAAAGTTCTTCAAAACAATTTGTGGTCAAATTGGACGGAGCAAGGTAAACGCCATCATGAATACACATATCTAGCATAACATGAAGCACACTACCTACGACAAAAAGTCCCCTTGACAGGCAATGCCCCATATAAATCTGCAAAAAGGCTACCCTCTTTTGTACTGCCTACTACAAAAGGTGAGTAAATGAGGCATACCAATATGTACCTTTTCTTGTGGGATCCCAAAGTACCGATGACTTGGCCTGCCCATTAGAGGAGGAATGTAAGGGAAGGTACAACACTAATTTTTCCAATAAATGCCATCCCCAATGCATAACTTTCAGTGTCACATTCAATGCACATGGGGCTAATCATCATTCCTTCTCTCAGACTGCTGAAAGCACCATCCTCATTTTGTCTCAGAGGAAAAGAGCTGATACCTCCCCCAGTATCTTATGTTTCCACTTCAACACAGTACTTCCCGTAGGTTCAGGGGTAGCTCTTCTCCTGGGGTAATCTATCACAGCTCCACTGACGTCAACACCAGTGAAGCTCTGATACCTTGCATCAGCTGAGGATCTGCCCAGCAGGCTGCACACATTCAAGCAGGATAATTGTATTTACATGCGTCTAGGTCAGGGCAGAGTGGTTCAATTAAATCAGTGTAAAACTAGACAACGCACAAGGTGACACTTGCCAAAATTAAGCCAGCAAGGCTCCAGGTTCAATCAGCCAACCATTTGCATAGCTGGGCAGCATGGTGTCATGGCCTGATCTGGGGGGCTGATCTGCCAGGAACTCTCAAGTTTGCCACAGACTATGGTAGCATTTTGGGCAAATTGCTGCTCTTTATTGACTCAAGTTTCCCCAACTACAGAACAGAGATAACGACTGCTAAGCGTGGGGCATGAATTATATTTTCAAAACACTTGCAAGGATGTAAATAGCACTGAAACAAAGTCAAAACAAGAGGCTGTTAATGGTCTGTTCTGGAACCGTACAGAAACATGACATTCCCTATAGAAGCATAAGATTAAAATGGACACTCACATTCCGGTACAATAATAAATTGCTGTAAAGGAGTTTGAGTCCCCTTGCAATTAGAACACTGTTCTTCAAAGGAGATCCTAGAAGAAAAGAAGCAATATAAACCCGACATAAAAATGACCCAAACTAAACACTGGTTTAAAAATCAAGTAAGTCAGTTAACCATCAAAACTTTCTACACACAGCTAACATTAGAAGCACCCATAGCTATTTCATAGTGTAGTTCTCCTAATTCAGGAGCTAATCATTATCAGTTGAAATATGCTCCCTAGAGTCCTCAGGAAGCTTCACAAGCAATTAAAATATGATACAACCGATGAAGCCATAATATAGCAGACCACACAGGACAAATCCTTTCATCGAGTACAGAATATTTAAGCACAGCACTGACAGGCTGTCACAATCCCACATGCTCCTGGGAATACTGCTAATGGCTGCCAAGTGGGCTTCTGTAAAATAAGCCTGGGGTCTCAGATCAGTTCCCTACTGCACAATTCCAAATGTGCCCAAACCCATTATTGCAGTAGCTTTGCAAGCAAGACCAATGATTAAAGGGAACAGAGACTATGAATTCCATTTCAAAGGTATTCGCTCAAGGTCACAATAAACTTGTCAGCAGGTTGAGGCATGAACTTGTAGGGTAGGAAGCCCTCTCGTAAACCATAGCTCATTTTCTCCTAATGGGGGGATGAAATGGCTTCATTGCCAACACATATTAGCCGTTGTATGCAAAACAGCACATGGCAGATGACAAGAGTAGTTTCAGCTGGAGTCCAGAATCTAAATGACAAAGGCCTTGGCGAATACTAGTTTCCATGCTTTAGTCCAGAGGATGTGTGGGGCTGGGCTGAATGTCTGTTACAGACTTCCCGTAAAGAGCGCACACCGCCGTGCTTGAGTGGGGATGGAAGCAAAAACCGTAACAAGAAACAATACTTGCCAATGACAGTCCACTGCCCAGAGTCACGAAGATCATTTCCCAAAGGAACACTGCCTGTTTTGAACATCTTCATGTAGACTTCAAACTGGGGAGGGGTTATACGGCAGGCTGTACAGCATGCCAGGTTACTGAAGGGGAGGAAGAGTGAGCGGGCAGCATCAACAAAGTCCCCCATTTTGCACAAATAGAATGGAATTCTGTCTCTGAAGATTTTTAACCTGAAAACAAGAAAAGGTCAAAGAGATGATTTGGACAAATGTTGCCATTAACATGAAAGTGTTACAAAAAAAATTCTGATCTAATTATATTGGCCAGGTAATATTAAGGAAAAGTTAGCAGTGATACTACATTGTGTTTTACTACTAGAAAACATTTGCCAGCTGAAGTCTTATTTCTTTTCAAGGATTGATTCTATTAAGGGTTAAGGCCTGCATGGGGACAATTCTAAAGGCAAAGAAAAACTAAAAAAAGCCATTTACCCTTGAGCGTCATTGCATTTCACAGCTTTCAGGTAGCGAACTATTTCCTTATAGCTAAGGGAGAAGAAGAGGGGAAAAAAGAGGCGTTACAATTTGGCGCACACTATTCAAATACCAACCACAGTTAACGAGATAGAACAAGTTCTCCCACATTTATCTACAAAAGATGGAAGCAGGTGGTGAATAAATGTGTGATCATGTTGTATCCTGACAAACCCAAAAGCTACGGATAAACCTGAATGAAAACACACTCACCACAACAAAGTTATTGAACATTTAAGTCCAGAAAGTCATCACTGTGACTCTGGCAAGCGAAATTTCAGGGGACGCCACCTGGGTTAACATTACAAACTTCCATTTTCTCTGTACCAGAAAATACTGGAGAAAGAAGCTTTAGAAATTATACAAATCCCTTCTAATATCCCTTCTATGAAACTTCCCTTACACTTAACCTAAATGGGACCAAGAGAATTTGGCAACTGCAAAGATTATTCCTGCCCACTGGGAAGTGAAAATGAAGGTGGCAGATGACAAGACATTCTTTCTCTCTCCCTCTCATCACAAATCACTGATAGTTTGTATATCATCTATGCTATGCTTCTTCCACGGACTTCCAAAAGGGGGGGGCGGGGAATCAAAGGGAGAAGCTAAAAAAGAAAGTCTCAAGCCAGACACTAAGGGTTACAATAGGAAGCAATTTTCAGATATTCTCTACTGCTCTCACAGAATATAATGAGAGACTGCAGCTCAACAGACTTGGGTCCAAACCAGAGAGATCATTAAAAGAAAAAAAAAAAAAAAGCTAAAAAAGAAAAGAAGAAAAACGAACAGAACCATGATCATTCATTTATGAAGACCTTGAAAAGCAAAGCAAAGCAAAGCAAAGCAAAGCAGTCACATTCCTATCAAGGGATATTGCTTTGAACCACATATCTACTGATAGCCAGGGTGACAACAGAGTAGAAGGAGAATGACTGAAACTCAGCAGTGGCTTTTTTCCATATCTGGACTAAAAAAAGACGCTCCTTTGACAGGTGCTGTTGTGCTGAGCACATTTAGAAAACACTGCTGACCTGTTCAGCTTTTGATCAATCTCAGTTTTGCACCTTTCTGGTAGCACAACGGTGACCGAGGTCTTTCAAAGGCACTGCACTGTACAACGTCAATATAATGCAGGATTTAAATTCTTAACAGCTGGATAACAACTTACTGTTGTTGGTTTTCCAATTTTTCTACACGAGCCCTTATGACAGGAAATGCTTCCCACAATGATACTTTCCTCCCTTTGTGTGTTCTTTGACCTGTGATGTTCTGGCCTTTTAAGACTGTGGTCAATAATCCGTGATCCCATGGCATAACATTTAGGCTGGAAGTTAAAGACAGAAGTTAGTCCCAAGGCTACTATAGGGCTCTTTGAAAAAGTTCACAGTTGAAGGCAAGGACATCTTTAATGTGGAAAAACACTTGAAGCAAGCATTTATTTGCTTTAGACCAAAATTTTGAACATCCTGTTTTATAGCAACTCCCTTCCGAAATTAGGCTGATGGACTAGAATCTACCTAGGGCACCACAGCAAAGCTGGGATGGATTTCAAGTTTTCAGGTTTTGGGACAAATTCTCTATTAAAGCACCCATGTCCATAGGAAGAGATTACAAGTTCCAATATACAGACCACGTAAAGACTGGCTTTTACACTTCAATACATTTAATGAATGATTAACAAGCAAAAAAACTTACCAATTTGAGAAGGCATAGCAGTGACAAGGAAGTGATATATGCTGGAAAAAAATAATGAACTTCTGATACAAAGTGTTTGGGAAGTCACATAGCACCAGCATCCTTTGCAGCCGTGTTGTAATTCTGCATTCAAGAAGAAAGTTAGTTTCAAAAGGAAGGGAAATGAGCCAATGTTTTTAAATCCAATTGCACTGTTGGTTTGATAACTCCTCCCCTGTAGCACTGAAAAAAAAACTCAAATAAGGTTTCTTGATCAAAATATGGTTATATATAAAACCTAATATACAAGGCTTACAATCAGCATAATATTACTCTTTAAAAAAAATCCGGTGAAAGTGTGCTTTAAAAAAAAATTAAAATCTTAATGGAATATTTGAAATGCAAGTAGTGCATCATCATGCCAACATAGGATAAACTGGATAGGTTTTTTTTTGTCAAACTACTTGTAAATGAAAGCAACTAACTGGGTTTTTACTGTCTGTGCCAAGTGAAATATAAAAATAAACAGAATGGTAATGATAACATTAACTGCACTTGACTTAAAATTTCTAAGAGATTTCTGGTTTATATTTAGAGTATATTTTAAAATTGACAAGATCCTTTTAAGGATCTTTAAGGTTAGCTTCAAGCGCCATCACAATAAAGTTTTGTTAAACAGATTTAGAGTGATCAAGAAATCCACTCTCACCTGAAGAGTTGCAAGTCTCTCCAGTCATTAAAACATCTGATGACAACAGAATTAACTTAAATGGAAGCTCACACTGAAATGCCTGGGGAAGCTGAAAGAAGTTTGGGGCAAAAATATCCTGCTTCTCTTCTTTCAAAGTTGATAAAAATAGGACATTGTCTTTATAAGGAACGGTCTCAACATAAAAGTAGACACTTAAAATGACAAAGATATAGGTTTGACCTGCCATTGATTTAAAAATAGGGAAATAATGAGAAGAATAGGATTTTTTTTTTATGTGTTCCCAAAAGCCATTTCCCATCATCATATTCCATTAACCTTTTGCTACTGCTGGATTTGGTATTAAAGGTGAACCACAGAGCTAAAATGAGAAATGAGTTAAGCAGAAAAAAAAACTGTGCTATATGTCAACCAGGCTCTGGGGGAAATTTTGTACGTTACGTCCCTGACTGAGCTCCTCCTTGCGAATGGTCACCAGGCTGCTGTATTAAAGCCAAATTTGGATACCATGTGCTCCTACGATCACCAGTTCTAAGCAGCCAAGAGCCTAGACACTGTCTTAAAAGTCTGGCCCCTCACACACTCTAACAAAATACTCCAATACCCTTTCTGGGCTATGGGTCCCTAGGGTTTTAGACCACAGAGTCTATGTTGGTTGGCCATCAATGTTCCAGCTGGAAATGTAGAAGCTTTTTAAAAAAAAAACCCCCAAACACTGCTGACATGGTGCTCTATCTGATGTATAATCCCATAACATGATGGATGCCATTTGTGATCTGAGACCACTGTCTACTGTTCTGACCAGTGAACCTCATTATATTCTTCTGCCTTCCCATAACCAGGTGTCTTGTATACTTAGATTTTAGGTGCTCAGGATAGGAGCAGTCTGTATTTGTACAGTACCTACAATGACTGGGTCCTGCCTCACGTAGTGCTACCCCAATACAATAAGGATACGCATAATATAACTTTAGCTTTGCTACGTCAGAAGTTCCCTTTTATGGAATCCCATATTAGAAAATTGAGATTTCAAGAGCTGATGGGTTTTAAAAACCCATTAATGCCTGAAGCTAGCCTTTGTAGCAGTAAAACAGTAGAAACTTGGCAGCCTGCAAATGATCTAATTTACACTGCAGTTTCTTACCTCTCCATCAGACAAGGTACAGCTACCTTCAGAGATCCATTCTGACCTAGATTTCTCCAGCTTCTGAAACAAAACACATAGATTAGGGCTTACATGTTTTCCTGTTAGTTTTAAAACTAAAACAGAGAAGAAACAAAAGGATTAAAACAATTTCTGTGAACAGATGAGAGCTAACAAACTAGCTACAACACATTTCAGATGTATTTGCAGAGCTTTAACAAAAAGCACTGTGTAGAGTACCTTCTGGAAACAGAATAATTTGCATCACAGCAGAACCAAATTCTCAGCTGAAATGAAGAACCCATCGTGCTAACTGCTGCATAGTGCAGTCATGTTTGCCTCGATGGGCTTAGTCTCAATTGACAAAACAAAACTACTAGAATTGGAGAGGCAGTAGCAAGCTCACTCTATACATGGGGCATGGAAAAATAAAGTGACTTGCCCAAGGTCACAGAAGAAAGCCATGAGTAATTCCAAGTAACAGAAGCTGAAAAACAGTGCTGTAACTGTTATACATTTCCCTTCCACTGAAACAAAGGATCTCTCAAGCTTTCCCCTCAACTTCTCTCCCCCTTTGCACTACACAAGGCACTGAATACTTACAGAGAAGGATCCTTATGAAGTGCAATTTCTTTGGCTGCTCCCAGAAGCATGACTGCAGCAGTTTTGGGATTCTCTTGGTCTGCCTCATTTAAAAAATTCGTTACCAGTGTGAAAACAGCAGAATATCTACAAGAAATAAAAGCCTTTAAGAGGATAGTTTAGGTGTTTGTTTAAACTGGATTGTGATGGGGTCCAAGTGACCAACTAAATAGACTGCAAGCAGAAAACCAAGTTTCCCCACAGATTGGTTCTGCCACCACTAGTTGGCATGATTCTAATTGTTATCTGACCAACAGAAGGGAAATCCCTGTGAATTACTATACAGCGTGAGCCAATTAATCAACCTCTGTAGTCACTGTTACCTGTATATGACCTCTGTCTGGTGCTGCAAGCAGATATTGCATTGCCCAGGTGCCAATTTTATATAACAGAAACATTCGTGTCTATTGGGAAGCATTCTTTCACCGAGCAGGTATTTGTTATATTCCACAGACAGTTTGTGAATAAATTTTATCAGCAGACTACCTGCAGATGAAGGAGGAAAAAAAAAATTGCAGAATTTTTTTTTTCCTTGGAAACAAATATGACCTTCTCATTACACGTCTCTTTCTGGGACAACTTGAGAGCACACTCCTTACCTCCACGTCGAAGGTCTGCATCTATGTCTGTGAGGTCCAGGTTGAACATTACAAGAACACCCACCAAGGCAAAATCACGCTGTTCCTTCCAGAATTTGCTTTTGTTGTGTGCATTGGAATGACAGAAGGAAGGGGCTGTCCAGTTCTGACACTAAGGGAAGAAAGGAAGAGGATTTTTAGTCCAATTAACCAAAGCAAAAGTTACAGTCCCTGACTCAGAGAAGCTAGTCTCATTATACCTGTATAGCTGGCTATATTTCATACTGAGCTACTGCTTTCTACCGGCGCAAATTCTAGTTGTTTTACCAACTGCATAACCAAATCAGGGATGGCATTAATATAAGGCTCTTTAACAAATAATCTGCATAAAAATGATGCAGTAGTACTTCTCAGACACACATCAGCCAGAAGACCAAACACTAGAAAATAGCCAGGGTGTGACAGGCTATGAGCATGAAAATTTTATCTCCAATTCTTCTTTAGTGCATGGTTCTTTCAGCTGCTTGTTCCTGATGCCTTTAGTAAAAAAAACACATTTCAAAAGCTGAAGCAGGCATGTCAACCAACAACTGGAGATATCATTTCAAGCAAGCAATTACATAACAGTAGACTGATATACAAGAGCAAGTACTCTGTCTTTGAAAGATAAAGCCTTTATACTTGTAACTACCTCAAAGCAATGTTGTGAGGCTTAGTTAACTGGCATCTGATAAAGCACTTTGCGATTCTGGAGGAAAATGTAGACCTGCCAAATTAAGTGATGACAAATGGGAGCTGCGACTCCAAGTTAAAAGATTTCCTAACACCAGGGTAAAGAGCTGGAATATTTTCAAGAATTCCAGGTTTTCAGCTGTTTTTAACTTTGCAGAACAGTAGGATATCCGAATATCCCTAATATCACACTAATCCTAGGAAAAGAACCAACCAGAATGCACAGCACGATCACCACCAATCTGCCTGAACAAACGCAAGCTCTGCCAACTGACACCAGGTAAACATCTGGTCAAGAAAGTTACTGGCCTGCTTGGCCCAGACCTAAAATTACTTCTACTAGTCATAGTGGCATTATGAATCCAACAAATGCTCAGAAGATGATCATTTGCAGTATTATAAGATTACACTCTCAGTATCATATATTGCTTTAAGCAGGCCCCAAATAAATGGCTTCTATTACAACTCGCAATGCAATTTTGACAAAGCAGACCCATGTTTCCTAAAAAAAAAAAAATCTCCAATCCCTCCTTACCTCAGAAGCTAGCTTATCACAAATGTAGCAATAGCACTGACTGCAGATATCGGCGTTTCTCTTGAGGGGTGAGCTTGTATCACACTCTGCTCGCCTGTAGGTTGATAAAGGAGAGCATTATATTAGTCCATCCTAAATACCTGATCCAGTCTACTTCTGCTTCCAATTGTTAAGATGACTCGACAAGTTATACTAGTAAGACTTAAACCTTTCAGTTTCAAACTAGTTACTAGTAGTAGTAGTTTTGAAATCCATGCCTCAAAGTACTAGGACTCCGATATAAAATTCTAAATGAAACAGTTTGAAGAGGAATGGCAAAGGAATCTCAGAAATATTTACTACAGTATGTCAGAACAGCATGTAGTTCAGCAGGAAAGCAAAAACCAACCTATAACAATCCGTCAGGCCCTAATTATAATTACTATTTAAACTTTCCTGGGCATAAAAAAGTGACCAGTACTACTTGGCATTATGACTCTTCTATTAAATGTTAACAGAAATTAAAAGCATCCATAACATTTCCATTACTCAAGTTCTTATTGCTCCCTGTAGAAGAGAAAAATCTGTGTTATCCAATATGCCACTGAACATACTCAAATGGGTGCTCCGGGCAGTCATATCTGGCATGAGGCATCACGTTCCCTTGCTTGCAGAATGTAACCAGTAGTTCACATTCTGCATCCACCACCTCTTCACATTTCTTCTCCTCAACACTAGACTTTTCTGTAAAAAGGAAAATAACTATGATGTATTCTAATGTATAATGAATGTCAGTTATAATTTAAAGCAAAACTAGATTACAGCTCTTTGGCACAGGACCTATCTTTTGGCTCTGTGACTGTATAGCGATGAATCCTAACAGTGCTCTGTCCACAACACGATCTTCACCACAGTATAAGTAACAATTATAAGCAATTTAAAGGGAGTAAACTTGACATAGACAAAGGCCAGATCCGGCAAAGTTCTGTGGTGCTTTGAAGCCATATATCAACATAATTATTCATGATTTAAAAAAAAAAAAATCTACTTATACTCCTGCATTTAAGGATTTCCATGAGTTCTATGTTGAGGGATTGCAAAATTCTGAAAAGAAACTCTTTTACTGTTTTGTTTTGAAAAGGTCTGGGCTCATTTTACAGCAGCATAAGCAGGACATGTCATGCAATGATACGCTTGTTTAGCTATGATGTTATTGGAGCTTCCCTTGTGAAAATGCTGCTGAAGATTCCCTGCATTTGAACAACTTTTGAAACGAATGAACAAAAAGTTACCAGGCAGTACTGTGCTCTGATCTACAAAAACTGCCACGTATGTATGTCTGTTATTCCTTCGCATATTTTCCACAGGGCAGTGAATCAGATGTCTTAACAGCTTGCTCGGATTTCTACTTTCCTGTTTATGGGATTCATTAAATTGCATGGAGAAAAAGGGGCAAGTAGCTACTATTAGAGCTTTCTCACTACAAGCCAAGGACGCACACCTTGCTGGGGTTATTTGACCCTAGCAGTCTTTCCTGCCCAGAGCAGGGGGGCTGGACCTGAAGATCTCAAGAGGTCCCTTCCAACCCTAAACTTCTGTGAATCTGTGAAGAAGTAAAAAGCTCGACTTTTTTCCCTTTGCAAGTTTAGACTTTGGTGAAATGGTCAGCAAAACCACATATATATCACTCAAACATTTTCAACTAGAAAGGAAAAAAAATATAGTGGATGCTTATAGAGGGAGACCACCATCCTAAAAATCAAGTTTCTATCTAACATTGATGTGTGGTGCCTGGGGACTGAAACAAGGCTGTGAGTTTACTTGGCGGATGCAATTCTTGAAATAAAATATATATTTTCAGTGCCAATTAGCAGCTCCAAAACCACTAGTCCACTTTTTCAAGGCTTCTGATAGTCAGTTCCAGGGCTCATACAAGAAACTCTGAAAATGGCAAAAGCTCTTAGGTTCCCAGCCAGCTAACTCCCCATATCTTTTAGGCTTCTAACAGTAGCTGCAAAACTTACTTGCTCTTTTCAAGGCTCCTAATAACAGCTCTTTTACAGGTGCCTCCCCCTCCCCATTTGCATTAAGTTAAGCAGGGCACAATTACATTAAAATTATACAACAGAGCTGAAAAATGCTATGCACTTCAGTGGTTTGCACACTGAACTAAGATTTGTTCCACGTATGCAGTGAGCCACAAATTTGGACTGATGTTGCCTTAATTTAAGCAAATTATGCAAGTATCCAAAATGCATGTAAATAAAAAATATTTTTTTGCATCTGTGTTTGTTACTTGCAAGAGCTACAGCTGCCGACACAGAGATAAAAAGACTGTCATCTTTCCAGCTTGTTTAGCGTGTGCCATTCCAAGTACCTGGCTATTTAATTGTTGCCCCTTTCAGTTATTTTCCCGATTGGGTGGTGCGCATTTGACAAGAGAGAATTCGTTCTCTCACTTTTTATCATTTTGAAAGTTGAAAAAGGCTGGCTGTGAGGCTAGAAAGCAGATGTACGATCCTTGTTCTACAATGTGCCTCTGAAGAGCTTTGCTGAGGACAGAAGCACAGCACTTACCCAAGGGCTCAACAAATATAACTGAATTCCCTTGTGTGCCCTCAGCTTCGTCGTCACTGATCAGGATCACGCTCTCCTCTCCGCCGTCCTCCGGTAGCGGCCCCATGGTACCTAATCCCCAAAAGAAAGCTCTTTGCATCTGCAGGTTGCTGGGTAAAAACAGATGTGGCATTTGAGTCTGGGGTGGGGGGGGGAGGGCAAATGGAGCACAATGGCATTCAAGCTGCAGATGTAGAGAACTAAGTGCCTGTTTGGGGGCGAGGTAAAGCCAGGATCAACTCCCAATCTGTTTCCAGTTTCAGAGCGCTTGGCAGAGGAGGGGAACTGAAACGCAGGAGGGAAGGGGACTTGTGCAAGGCCCTTCCAGGGTCAGGTCACGGGGAGAAGCAGAATCCAGCTGGATCCATGGAGGACAGGCCTCCACCTCACTGGGGCAGCTCAGGAGACGTGGCACCCAGCGCCCACAGCACGGGGCAGACAGGGACAGAACCTAGCAGCGCCCCGCCGA